CTACCCTCTCTCTCTCTCTCTCTCTCTCTCTCTCCAGACTCCAGTGTTGTCGGCTCTTATTATATTTATCATGTAATGATTCTTTTTTAAGGACATTTCTAACAAGGATTTTTGTTCGTGTAATATATATTTATATATATAAAATAGACTGGAGAGTATAATATACTATTCTATCTTTAGGTGGATTAATATTGGGAGAAATAATAATATGTTTAATAATATACCTGCCTTGTTATGTTTTAGTTTACTCAATTACTTCCCTTGGAAGGAGATTGTAGCAAGAGCATCTCCAATAGATCCTTACAATCTCTCTTAATCTTGAGGGACTTTTAAGGAAGGGGAAAGTTCTCCTCCAATGGTTCCCTCTTCCCCTCCTTTAAAAGTCCCCTTACTCCTTAATTGTTCATATTTAGTGTTTTAATTTTATAGATTAGGATTTAATTAAATATGTGGTTTATTTATAAATGAATAAATAATTAAATATTAATAAGTAAAAATAATTAATTAATTAATTTAAATTAAGAAATTATCTTATATAATCATTAAATTAATTAATCTTATTGAAATTTAACAAATAATTAATTTATATAAATCATGTTAAGAGTTATATATTATTTTAAATATAAATTTATATTATTTTAATATTAATTTTATTTAACAATAATATCTAATGGTCGTAATATAATGTTCATATTTATTCGGTCATATATCAACAGTCATATTTAAACGATCATATTTCAACGGTCATATTTTAACGTTGTTTTTTTAATTAAATTACCCTCTCTCTCTCTCTCTCTCTCTCTCTCCAGACTCCAGTGTTGTCGGCTCTTATTATATTTATCATGTAATGATTCTTTTTTAAGGACATTTCTAACAAGGATTTTTGTTCGTGTAATATATATTTATATATATAAAATAGACTGGAGAGTATAATATACTATTCTATCTTTAGGTGGATTAATATTGGGAGAAATAATAATATGTTTAATAATATACCTGCCTTGTTATGTTTTAGTTTACTCAATTACTTCCCTTGGAAGGAGATTGTAGCAAGAGCATCTCCAATAGATCCTTACAATCTCTCTTAATCTTGAGGGACTTTTAAGGAAGGGGAAAGTTCTCCTCCAATGGTTCCCTCTTCCCCTCCTTTAAAAGTCCCCTTACTCCTTAATTGTTCATATTTAGTGTTTTAATTTTATAGATTAGGATTTAATTAAATATGTGGTTTATTTATAAATGAATAAATAATTAAATATTAATAAGTAAAAATAATTAATTAATTAATTTAAATTAAGAAATTATCTTATATAATCATTAAATTAATTAATCTTATTGAAATTTAACAAATAATTAATTTATATAAATCATGTTAAGAGTTATATATTATTTTAAATATAAATTTATATTATTTTAATATTAATTTTATTTAACAATAATATCTAATGGTCGTAATATAATGTTCATATTTATTCGGTCATATATCAACAGTCATATTTAAACGATCATATTTCAACGGTCATATTTTAACGTTGTTTTTTTAATTAAATATGGTCACTCCCTCTATAAATAGCACTACCAGTGTCTTTCATTTTTACTAAATTCAAATTCATTCAATTTTTTTAGCCTAATCTTTAATATTATTTATGGCTAGTAGTTTGTTACGTGCATTGCTACAAGATAAAGAGGATGACGATGATGATGATTATGCGACCTTATTAGCCATCGCATCTTTGGAAGAACACCACTCTAGCGAAGGTTAAAGTTCATGTCGTCGTGGTTCCATTCCAAGGCGCGTTGTAATTCAACGCAATAGAGCTGAAGGTCACGAGAGGCTTTTTCATAACTGTTTTAGTGAATCTCCTGTGTATCCTGCAAAACTATTTCGAAGGAGGTTTTGTAGCATCGTCCACTATTTTTGCGTATTTTATCCACAGTGGAAACATAGGATTCCTACTTTTTCCAAACGGGATGCTGCTGGGAAAATTTGTTTATCCTCACTACAGAAAGTAATTGCTGCTATGAGGATGCTTGTTTATGGAGTATCAGCAGATTCTGTGGATGATTACGTGTGGATTGGAGAAAGCACCGCTATAGAGAGTCTCGACAGGTTTAGAAAATCAATTGTTACAATTTTCGGTGATGAGTATCTAAGGTCACTAACTAACGAGGACACTGCAAGATTTCTTGCAATTGGCGAACTATAAGGATTTCCTGGGATGTTAGGAAACATCGACTGCATGCATTGGAGATGGAAGAAGTGTCCGGCTGCGTATCATGGTATGTATACTGGTCACATCCACACTCCTACAACAATTTTAGAAGCTGTTGCTTCCTATGATCTTTGGATTTGGCATGTTTTTTTCGGTTTACCGGGAGCTCTTAATAACATTAATGTGTTAGAACGGTCTTCCGTTTTTTCTCAACTTGCTGAAGGGAATATGGTCCGACTGTTAATTATACAGTCAGTGGTCATGAATACACGATGAGATACTACCTTGCTGATGGTATATATTCGTCACGTTCAACATTTGTTAAAACAATTTCTTTACCACAAAGAAATAAAAGAAAACATTTTGCTACACTTCATGAGTCGGCAAGAAAGGATGTAGAGCGAGCATTCGGGGTACTCCAATCACGCTTTGCAATTGTGCGTGGACCAGGTCGCTCTTGGGATGAGAAAATAGTAAACAAAAATATGCAAGCATGCATAATAATGCATAACATGATCGTTGAAGATGAAAGAAATGATGATTATATCGACTTCACGTACGATGCTGCTAAGGAAACTCCAACTATATCAGTGTTTCACGAACGTATAATAGATTTGTGTGAATTTATTCAGAATCATCATCGCATTAGAGACATGCAAACTCATTCTCGATTGCAATTGGATCTTGTCGAGCACTTACGGGAACAAAAATGGTGGGTTTTAGTAAGGGATTTCTATGTTGATATAATATTAATGTCATTGAATTTAGTGTTGCAAGTAAGGACCTGTTAGTTGATGTAATATTGATGTCATTGAATTTCTATATCAAGATGTGATCTAATTTGATTTTTGAGAAAAGTTTCCATTTGCATAAATAGAACTTCGTAAAATCTTCAAATACGATACATCATCTTCAAATATGATACAACAAGAGTAAATTAAAATAGATAAAAACACACTAAATAAATTGTAGATTTGAACCGCCCCCATCTTCCTTCTAATTTGAGCTACCACCACCAAATTGTCTTTCAAGAACTTCCATCTTCAGCTTATTGTAATACTCTACTTGTCATGGAGGCATGCCATCAGTGTTAATTGCCATAATCCTCTCATATTATTTCATAATTTTCAATCGTATTTTTTCCTTTTTGATATTTTGAGCTTCTTGAGCGACCTGTAGTCTAGCTTGCTCTATCTTTATGCGCTCTTGCTCCTAAACATAAATTTGATCAAATAATTCTGCTCTTTTTGTTATTTTTCTTTCCGATCCTGCTTCATTTCATCAATAAACAACATCACCGGTGTAATTTCAAAAGTCATATGCTTGTCTTTACCTTGTTCAACCTTTCTTTTGCAACCTGTCTACCTATGGGCCTTGACGAACCCAAAGTAGGACATTCGTCTTCCCTGTAATTTATTGAATCTGGAATTGCAGGAGAAGAAGTAGCAGGACTTGAATTTTTTGACTTCTTAGATTTTTTTTCATTGAAAATTGGCCGAGTCACTTTGGATGGAACCTTAACTCATTCCAACAATGTAAAAATTAAAAACTTACTCCTTGCATGCTTTAAAACATTTGCATCGCTTCCATAATCTAATTAAAAAATAAAATAAATTTACTAACATGTAAAAAGTAAAACAACTAATAAATTATATAAATCTAATCTGTTTAAATAATTTGAAGCCACAATTAGTACATTGTCATTCTCTGTCATGCCACTTGATTTCTTGCTTCAATTTGATTAGAACACCCGTAAAATTTACCAACTGCAATTTGAATAGCCGACCAACAGTGCTCTAACCCTTTTTTATCACGATCGCTACTGAATGTCTTGTTTTCTTGATAGTAAGTTGCCACTTGGCGCCAAAATTTGGAATATTTTTGCAATGCCCCTTGCACTAGATCAGTGCTAGTGTTGAGCCATGCAGATACAAGCAAGATGTCTTCTTCCATCCGATATTTTGATTTTCGCATCGACTTCTTTTGCAATGGTGCAATCTTTTACCGAATTTTCTTCGGATACGTCCGGTTGAAACGATTGCTCTTCATGTTGTGTGAGCGTCTCCTCAATATCCGTATCGCCCGGACGACAACCTGAATCCCTAGGCTTTAACTCCCCGAGAGGGCCACAAAGAAAGAACGACAAGAGAAGGGCCCTATGTTTTCAGCGCGATGAAAAGTACGTCGCTGGTAATCGTTGTAAAACACAAAAAAAGTGTAAACACTTGATGATGAAGGATATAAAGCTGAAGCGCGTTGCGAGTCGGTCACCCAAGAAATCCCAAGGAGCGAAGTTCCATATAAAGGAGCAGCAGAAGATGAGTTGGGAGTAGCAACCGCGAGTGCTTTTGGACAAGATGCGGGGGGTTCCGATGGCCAGGCTCACTGCTTCTACTCGAGATGGCCGAAGCAATCGGAGATGAGTTGTACGAGCTTTTAGGGGTAGGAAATATAAATTAAGAGAGAGATACTTTTTAGGTGAAGGGTAAGCGTTGCCTCTGTAGGCTGTCTAAAAATCATAATAGATAGCTTATCCAAACAAGCTCCGACAACGGAGGTCACAATCAGACGACTTCCCAATCACTGCAGTCCCTTCACAATCGCACAAACACGACGCTCACTTCTGAGATGATTCGATTTGATGGCTGCGAACAACAGCATGACTAATATT